CAGCACAGCTGTTCGCATAAGAAAATGACTAACGTTAATGGTGTTTGAGTGTGACAGGGACACTTACAGTTTCTGATGTCCGAGATGAACACAGCTAATCCTCGCATTCCGTCTCCCTTCGACACAGCCGGCATGTTTGCTCGTTTTTTCTCTTCAAGCCGGCTTCAACGCGAAACAAATGACTTTCAGATGTTCAGAGGTGCAGGTTTAACAGGCGGCGATTTGGGTTCAAATGCACCGAGCTAGCGGGCTAAGTTAACTAACACGGACTCACACTAGAGCTGCTAATTTAGTCCTGAATTAAACTGTAAGCGCTCGTAAAGCACACTAATAAAGCAGCAGCGAGTGTTTATGAAGAAAATAGGTGAATGCAGTGGGTGAGAGAGAAGCTGGGGAGTCAGCGCGACTGCTGTTTCCGTTGGCTAACGTTAATTCATTCAATCCCGTGAACTCTCGTCAATGGGGAAAACGATGGAAAGGCGTACGCTTACGTCGCGGCACTGACTAATTATAAAACAAGCCAACGTGTTGTTTTTAGTTTATGATAACGCACCTATATGTCGATGGATGGTGTTAAAATAACAACTGATACCTCTCTGACTTTGAGTCACGCACGGCAAGCTAGCCAAACAGCTAGCGAGCTGGCTAGCTCTATCAAATGTTAGAATACATCACCCAAATGACCGCGATATGACAACGGGGAATCCTGCTTGCTGACGAACTAATCTGACAGACCTGTTTCTGGAGAAAAAGATGGCTCTGGACTGTATTTAGTCGTCAATAATGTACGAGACTTTTCGCTCGGTCGCTGTACCCCGACGGAGCTCGTGACAGAACGGGCGCTGAGCTCGCTCCAGCGCTTCCTCCCCACAAGTCCCGCCTCCAGCCCGCTTCTCCTGCTCTGATTGGCTAGTTTACTGTCATTCAGTACACCATTTGTCCGTTCATACGTCAGTTACATTTTATATCCATTTTAATTGGCTTGAAAACAAGATCGACATTGACAGTATCAAAGTGCAAGTATGTGGTAATGGTGATAAATTGCCAAAAGAGAGGTTGTAAATTACACTAATTCAATCTGACGACTGGTCTTCCTGTTTAAAGCTAATGTTTGAAATAGTGTGATAATGATAGTGTGAAAGGGATAAACACATATTAATCATACGATACGTGTCTATCTATCTATCTGTCTATCTGTCTGTCTGTCTGTCTATCTATCTATCTATCTATCTATCGTTTGTTCTGTTTTTTTCTATCGTTCTATCTGCACATCCGTTATCTTCTTGGTATAAGCGACTGTTAGAAACAAAATCACATTATTGTCTGAATATGTCAAAAATGTATTTTGCATGGTGGGGTGAGCTCATTTGCAAAGAGTTCAGAAAATAATCGAATGTATTTGTTTGTCAAAAAATTAAACACATGGTGCTCTGCATGAATGTATATAGAATATGTAATTTTGTATTTTTCCATGACACCTTTTTCTTCCATCCATCCATTTTTCAAAACACTTCCCTAAGGTCACAGGGAAGCTGGAGCTTATTTGGGAAAAACCCTGTATGGATACCCTGCCCATCACAGCAGCTCTTTCAAATAATTTAATAAAGATGAAATCAAATGTATTTGATATATTCTACAAAAATCAGATGACAGCTGAGATTTACCTTGGGGGCTTCTTGTCCCAGGAATAGAGCAAGATGGCACCTGTCAGTTTTGTGCAACTAATTTAGCAAATTTCCCCAAATAATATATACATCATCCCGTACATGGTAAACTCATACAATTTATCTCAGTAAATGCACACTATTCTAAAAGCATCTACCTTTAACATTGATATATAGTAGCATCAAATAGGCTTCGCATAGTCCGTTTTGATTTAAAAGGATAGTTCATCCAAAAAATAAAAATAAATACAATTCTGTCACCATTTACTCACCGTGTCCTTCCAAACTGTATGACGACTTCTATAAAAAAACAAAATAGAAGATATTCTTAAGAATGTTGTGATTCAAACATTGATTATGATTGTAAGAACAAAATCACTGGAATATTTTTTTTAAAATATCTTCTCATCTTCCACAGGAAAAAAATAAGAAAATAAATGTATATACATTTGAGGGAGACACGAGGAGAGGCTTTTAATTTTGGAGTTATGTGTTATGTGCTACTGTTTTTTCTTTTCACCTGTTTTAGTTTGATCAATACTATCTATCTATCTATCTATCTATCTATCGATACAGATAAATATTGTACGATTCTATAAATATTAAAATAAATGTCTTCAATCCGTTCAAATCTGTGTTCTTGTGCACAAAATGTATTACAGTTTGCTAAAACGTTTTTGTAAACGTATATGGTCACTGACATCAGTTCAACTCTCATAACAAGCCTAATAATGTAAATGTAATATAAAATTTGTATGACAGAATAAATCAGTAATCGTGCTACAGTTTGGTCCAATGAAAGCCACGCTTCAAAACAGCGGAAAAACGCAGTGAAGTTGAGCCTATGACGGAGAGCCGCAAGAAAGTGGGCGGGGCCTACAGTAAATCCCGTGATTGTCGTCCAATCAAATCATTCAGTAAAGGCGAAGGGGCGGGAGCAAAACAAGTGTGTTTCACATGAGCTGTGCTGCAGTCGTGGTATAATCCAGTTTACCGAAATGGCGGAGACAGCGGACAGAATGGAGGTAAGCTGGAGCTACTCAAGGCCATATCGGCTGGCACACATCCGAAGCCAAATAGCTATTTGCGAGAGTTAGACTCAACATGCCAGCTTTATTTGTTACATCCTAGCTCCGATGCTTTAGTCGTTGAACGGATTTGTGTGCTGCGTATGTCCTTATCAGGTGGCTAGAAATGTGCGCACACGCATCTTGAGCATCCATTTTAGCTAGCCGCGAATAATTCATTCATTTAGCATCACGTGTCTGCTATTGCTAGTAGGCTAAAACGAGTTAGTTCCGAGTTTTGAAATGTTACGTGTAACCATTTGATGTATAATGGAGTTGGATTTAGTGATTTATGAGTCCTGTTAGCTAGCTGCGCGTTCAGTCTCCACGAGGGTCGTTTAGAGCACGCTGGCGGTTCGCTTCAATTACCTATTGTTGGGTGCAGACCGCATGGGACGGAGCACCGCATGGGATGTGCTTGCTACTTTTTACAGCTTTGTTCACCAAACCACGACTAATTAGTTATTAGTGAGCTGATTGCTATAATTTGCGGTATGGTCAATTAATTAAAGTCGGTTTTTTTTTCAATCACGTTGTTGCCCACATGTATTTTAATCAAAAGTTTCAGAGGTCTTCCGACGCTATGAAAACGATTTTTCTCATTTAAAAGGCTAATTAGTATAACCGCTACTTTCCTTCTCTAATAAATTGAATGTTGTGTGGGGAAAAATACGTTTATCCCGGTTTTAACCGCCTTGAATTGTCTTCGCTGCTTTTAAAGCAATGCTGGTCTTGAGTTCGCACAAGCTCTGTTAGTTGTAATAGTGGCGGATTTTGATTGGTCACTGCGGTTTGAATCTTTTGAATCCATTTACCAAAAAGATTTGTTCTTTGTTCGTACAGTGAAGCTTTTACTACATCCTTACTTTTGGTACAGTAGGTGACAAGCGATTCTTTTGTGGCTAGCGCTTATTGAATCGTTTATTCGATTCGTTAAAATGAGTCATGCGTCGTGACCGAAACAAGTTTTGTCCTTTGTTAAAATTTTGCATATACCAATCGATGTTGAAACATTAAACACAATTTCCTCACAATAGCTACAAAACCGATTTATCACTAGCTGGGCTGTGGGTCTTATGACAACTTTTCAAAATTGAATGCAACATACAAAAGACACTACCTGAACGGAAGCAAAGCCCAGCTCATCCTTTTTTTTTTTCCTTAGTGTATAATTTGATTTCTTTTTTCTTTTTTTTTTTTTACAGGTGTCCCAGGGAGAGAGCTCAGCAAAACCTGCAGCAGAAGACATGACCTCCAAAGACTACTACTTTGATTCCTATGCACACTTTGGTATTCATGAGGTACAGTCTTATTGGTCCATCATGTTTCATGAATAGTGGTACAATTACACATATTCATATCTGTGATCACTGTAAACCCATTCTGTGTCCACAGGAGATGCTAAAGGATGAAGTTCGTACTCTGACGTACAGAAACTCCATGTTCCACAACAAGCATCTCTTCAAGGATAAGGTGGTGCTGGATGTGGGAAGTGGAACTGGCATCCTTTGTATGTTTGCAGCCAAAGCTGGAGCCAAGAAAGTTATTGGGGTGAGTGTAAATCCTACCCGTTTATGTAAAT